ACCACAAGAGGCCACAGGTACAGCAGCACATGCCTGTATCCCAGCACTTGGGGAGGTCAAGGCCAGAGGATAACTTGAGGCCGGGAGTTTGAGACCAGCCTGGGCAACATAGCAAGGGCCCGTCTCTACAAAAAAATAAAAAACATTAGCTAGGCATGGTGGTGCACAGCTGTGAGTCCTAGCTACTCAGGAGGCTGAGGCAGGAGGATAGTTTGAGTCCAGGACTTCAAGGTTACAGTGAGCTATGAACACCACTCCACTCCAGCCCGTGTGACAGAGAAAGATCCTGTCTCAAAAAAAAAAAAAAAGTCTTACACGAGCCTCACTAGGTTAAAATCAAGGTGTGGGCAGGGCTTCATTTCTTCCTGAATGTTCTAGAAGATAATATGTTTCCTTCTCCAGCTTCTGGAAGCCATCTGCATTCCTTGGCTTATGGTCTCCATTCTCCATCTTCAAAGCCAGCAACATCTCTTCTCTTGGACCTGCTATCATCATTACATCTCTCTCTCCTGCCTCCCTCTTCCTCTTGTTTGTTTGTTTGTGAGACAGGGTCTTGCTCTGTCCTCCAGGCTGGAGTGCAGTAGTGCCATCGTAGCTCACTGCAGCCTCGAACTCTGGGCTCAAGGGATCCTCCTGCCTCAGCCTCCAAGTAGCTGGGACTACAAGTGCCACCACACCCAGCTAGTTTTTTCTATTTTTTTGTATAGACAGGGTCTCACTCTTGCTCAGGCTGGTCTCAAACTCCTGACCTCAAGCGATCCTCACGCCTCGGCCTCCCAAAGTGCTAGGATTACAGGTGTGAGCCACCACACCCAGCCCCTCTTCCCCTTTTAAGGACCCCAGTGATCACATCAGACCCACCAGAATAATCTCCTGGTGAGCAGCTTTAATTCATCTGCAGCCTTAATTCCGCTTTGCTGAATAAGGGGCCACATTCACAGGTTCCAGCGGTTAGGACCTGGATGTCTTTGGGGCTGTTATTCTGCCTCCCACATACCTGACAGTGTGAGAGACTCCTGTCAGGTCTTGACACTGTGTGATCTTGGGTCTCAGGTTTACGCTGACCCATCTTTATGCTTCTGGGTCTCCTTTGTTGTGTCCATTGTCGTGACAACTGGTTAGGGTAAGTGTGTCACTGGAGACCCATAGCAATATGAAACCAGCAGACTGCAGAGTTGGAGGGAGAGTATGAAATGAGTAAAGTAAGACAACTGTTAAGCCTTTTGATCTTTTTAATTCATATCTGCTTCACTTTTTTTTTTTTTTTTTTTTTGAGACAGAGTCTCACTCTGTTGCCCTGGCTAGAGTGCCGTGGCATCAGCCTAGCTCACAGCAACCTCAAACTCCTGGGCTCAAGCGATCCTCCTGCCTCAGCCTCCCGAGTAGCTGGGACTACAGGCATGCGCCACCATGCTTGGCTAATTTTTTTTATATATATATATACTTAGTTGTCCAGCTAATTTCTTTTTTTTATTTTTAGTAGAGACGGGGTCTCGCTCTTGCTCAGGCTGGTCTCAAAGTCCTGAGCTCAAACAATCTGCTTGCCTCGGCCTCCCAGAATGCTAGGATTACAGGCGTGAGCCACCGCACCCAGCCCTTGCTTCACTTTTTAAAAGTCTGTATACTCAATGGACATTTATTGAGTGAAAATTTAATTTTCAAAATATATGCATTAGAGATTGACTATCTTAAAATAGCTGCTCAGACCTTCCTTTCCTGTTAGAATATAACTTGCTAGAAGTTTAGGGATGAATCTGGAAAGGAGACTGTTCCAGCCTGAAACTACTGCCCAGGACGTGTCCGTCCCCGGTCATGGAGTGGCTGGCGAGGAATCCGCCTGTGAGCTAGAAGTTACAGTCCTCTCGGCTAGAGGACTGCAACGTCATCAGTGTTTCTCAAAGTATCAGAATCAGATGGGGTGTGGGTTAAAATGTAGACTCTTGGGTCCCTCTCCACATTTTCTGAGGCAGAAGTCTCTGGGTGGGGTGGCCCAGGACTCTGCATTTTTGACAAGAACAAAGAGTGCTTCTTAGGTATAGCGAAGTTGGAGTACCACTGGTTATAGACTTAATTTGCCTTTTTCTGATTATTTAATGGCTTTATTGAGATAATTCATGTACCATGCAATTCACTCACTTAACATCTACAATTCAGTGGCTTCTAGTGCAGTTGCAAAGTTGTGAACATCACCATAATCAGTGTTAGAGCATTTTCATCACCCCCCAAAACCCAGAATGATTAGCAATCACCCCTTATTCTCCCCTTCCCCAAACCCACTTCAAGACATGCAAAATTTGCTTTCCGTCTCTATGGCTTTTCCTACTCCATGGAAGCTCTAGGCTCTAAGCCATTTCATATAAAGGGAGTCGTATCATATGTGGTCTTTGTGTCTGGTTTCTTTCCCTGAGCATAATTTCTTCAAGGTTCATTCATGTAGCATGGATATTTTATTTCAAAACAATATTCCTGTGTATGGGTATGCCACGTGTTAGTTGGACATTCATCTATGTACAGATTTTTGTGTGGACATGTGTTTTCATTTCTCTTGGGTATATTCTTGGGAGTGGAATTGCTGGGTTGTGGGGTAACTCTAACCTTTTGAGGAACTGCCAGACTGTTTTCCAAAATGGCTGTACCATTTTACATTCCCACCAGCAGTGTATGAGGGTTCCAGTTTCTCCTCATCCTCGTCAACACTTATTATTGTTCGTTTTTTTGTTTTAATGTGTCCATCCTCGTGGGGTGAAGTGATACCGCATTGTGATTTTGATTTGCATTTCCCTAATGACTAATGATGCTGCACATCTTCTCATATATTAGCCATTTGTGTATCTCCTTTGGAGAAAGACCTATTCAGAGCCTTTGCCCAGTTTTTCATTGAGTTGTTTTCTCACTACTGAGATATAACAGTTGTTGGCCAGGCATGGTGGCTCGTGACTGTAATCCTAGCACTCTGAGAGGCCAGGGAAGGAGGATAACTTGAGGTCTGGAGTTGGAGACCAGCCTGAGCAAAAGTGAGACCCCATCTCTACCAAAAATAGAAAATATTAGCCGAGCATGGCAGCACGTGCCTGTGGTCCCAGCTACTCAGGAGGCTGAGGCAGGAGGATTGCTTCAGCCCAGGAGTTTGAGGCTGCAGTGAGCTGTGATGATGCCACTGCACTCTAGCCAGGGTGACAGAGCAAGACTCTGTCTCAATCAATCAATAAAAGTAAGTCACAAAGACAGTACAAAGTCCGCATAGATCCTCCTCCCAACTTCCCCTCGTGTTAACTCTCATATAATAACGGTATGTTTGTCAAAACAAAGCCATTACCAGTGGTAATTAATATGCGATTAACTAAACTACAGACTAAATTCAGATTTCACCAGTTTTTTCACTAATGTCCTTTTTCTGTTCCAGGATCTAATCTGGGATCCTACATTGCATTTAGTCACCATTTCTCCTTAGTCTCCTCTGATATGTGACAAGTCCTCAGTCTTTCCTTGTTTTCGATGACCTTGACAGTTTTAAAGAGTACTAACCAGGTATTTTGTAGAATATCCCTCAATGTAGGGGTGTCCGATGTCATCTCATGATTAGACGAGGTGATGGGTTTTGGAGAAAGGATCCCCTGGAGGTCAGGTGTCCTCCTCCTCATCACATCGTGTCAAGGGCACCTGCCAGCCACATGACTCCTCACGAGTGGTGTTAACCGCGATCACCTGGTGGAGACAGTGTCTGCACGTACTGTTTGGAATTCCTCTTAAGGAAGACCTGTCCCTTCTGCAACATTTATTTATTCAGTCATTTGTATCAGTGTCGACTCGTGGATATTTGTTTGATTCTTTGGGTTATAATCTTAGCAGCTTACTTCGAAGGCATGACCTCAGCTCTGTGGAGCAGTTCTTTCTGTAACTGGCATTTCAGACGTTAAGCATCTGCTGCTCGGGGGCAGAGGAAGGCGCTCTGGCTCTGAATCAGCCAGGCCTGGGTTCAAGGGTCTTGGCTGTCACTAACTGTGCAGTCCTGGGCCACTCACTCACGTTCCTGAGGCCTCCATCTGCCCAGGGACAGGGTGGGGATGATGGTGACACTAGGAAGGGAGGTTTTTGGGTTACAGTAATGGAGGTAAGGACGTGTCTCTGGGCAGGTCAGGTCTGTGCCAGGAGTGTGGGCGGGACCAGAGGGGCAGGCACGCGCTCTTGCTCACTCGCTCGTGCTCCCTCTCACCATTCCACCCAGGAGAGCTCTGGGTCACTCTGTTTCTCTCTTAATTGCTGTTGCATCTATAAATCTGAAGCCAGGATTTTAAGAGTAAAAAATACTCTTTTTTCTTTCTTTTCTTAGGCCATTTAAAGGACTTTGAGATTTTAATATACTTAATTTTATTCTTCATTTCTTTATTCTAGTTGTTTATATTAATCTTTATTTTCTTGTATGACATGTTGCACAGGAATGGGGACCCTTTTTCTGTGAGTGATGGACCAATATAAAAAATTACCTTGTGAATAAATGTATCTTATTTTTTATGTTAAATATTTTCCATTGTAAAAGTAGCTCATGCAGAAAAAACTGAGTTCATGTGCAATTTTGAGCAAACAATAGAAAATCAGTGAAAGGATGAAATCTCTCATTCCCACTACTATTAACATTTTCATGAATTATTTCCTAGTTGACTTTAGTGCATTTTAATATAATTCTTTGCAAACAGCTGCTTTTTAAATTAAGAAGAGGTCAGATGAAGTCAGTAAATCCAAGACAAGTGACTGCAATGGGGAGGAAACAGAAGGAGACGATTGGCTGAGCGAGAGATGTAG